GGTTCCCCCAGCACCAGCTCTGTGAGGGGAAAGGGAGGAAGAGGCTCAGCAGGAGCAAGCCGGGACAGCTTCAGTTCTGGCTGGCCCCAGGTCTCTGTCCGCTGTGCCTCTGCTTTTTAAATGCAGTAAGAGCTGCCTGGCTCTTACTACATTTAAAAGACAGAGCTGCAGATGGGGACCCGGCACCTCTGCCAGGCAGCTCTTACTACATTTCAAAAGCAGAGGCGCAGCAATCAGGGACCCAGTGTGAACCAGGACTGAAGCAGTCCTGGCTCACGCCGGGTTCCCCCGCTGTGGCTCTGCCTTTTCAGAGCAAGAGCCAGGTGGCTCAGTCCTGGCTCATGCCACCCCCAGGAGCTAACCCCACTGCAGCACTGCAGTTTAAATGTAGGAGAAGCCTGGCTGCCTGCATACTTGACTCCTACTACATATAAACTGCAGACCTGCAGTGGGGGTAGCAATGGAAATTCCATCGACTACTCGATTAGCTAATTGAATGGTACTTAACATCCCTGGATACCACTAGAGTTCTGTTGGAGTAGAGCCCCACCAGGTCACAGAGCTGTGCTTGGAGCCTACTCCCAATGCGTAAGAGACTCAGATTTTCTCCCACACACAGAGATCTGTTCAATGACCATTCAGTAACTCAGCAGCATACGCCAGGGAATTTTACGCAAATGAAAACAGAGAGACTGTAGGCAGGCAGGAGGCAAGTTCCCCAAACTGAAATTTGTTTATCACACTCCCTGCACTCCTTGCAAAGAGCATCATGGTTTCCTTAAATGATCATGAGTCAAAATGCCCAGGGTTTTTCCTGAATTTAAACAGTGCCTCTAACAGCACAGCGGCTTTTGGGGGTGGGCAGGGTGAATTTCTACATGCATCAGCCTGGCTGAACAACATACAGCACTGAGATCCAATAGTCTGAAATAAATTCCAGCAGCAAAGTAAAAAGATGATTGTAGGAAACAAGACAAAGAAAAACACACATCACAGAACACAGAACTGAAGTCACTAGGGATGTTAGCAGCTAGCCAGATAATCATTTGACCAATAAGCTATTGTTTATTGGTTAACGGTCCTGGATAACTGCAACAACACCCCTCCCCCAGCATGTTCTGAATTTAAAATTCAGACTGGCATGCTGGCTCAGCCCTAGCCCGCCAGTCCAAGTTTCAAACGAAGAGCACGCATGGGAGCGGTCTGCTGCCCAGCGCTACTGCCTCTGTATCAGATGCTGAAGCAGCCTCTGTCCGTGAGGAGCTTGGACCCCCCGCGGACAGGGGCTGCTGCCACCCCATGCTGCTGCTTCTGATACAGAAGCAGCAGCCCAGGTTGGCAGGCAGGAGCCGGTCTGCACAGGGAGCCAATTTTTAAACTGGCTCTCCTTGCAGACCAGTTCCCACCTGCCACCCCGCACTGCTACCGCTGTATCAGAGGCAGCAGCGCGGGATGGCAGGGGGCTCCCCAGGAGTGGGAATGGGAACACACTGGCAGCTGCCCCCACCCATGGGGGCCAATGAATAATCGTATAACCGCTAAGAATTGTTGCGGTTACACAATAACTAAATTAAACAATTTCTAACATCCCTAAAAGTCACATGCCCAAATATGCATGGTTCAAATGAACATGTAGTTCAGGTATGGCAATATTTATTGCTAGAAATAGGCACTCTTTCGATACTAAAAAACAAAGTATGCTTTATTATTGCCATATGGAGTAAACATGGTACTTTAAGGATGGCATAGCCTTAACCTATGCCTGTGGAACTCACTGCAGCAGGATGATAGGGCAAACACTTCGGTAACTTTTAAAAAGGAGGTTGATATGTTTATATGACTAAGGATAGGGCCAGCAGTTGTAGGAATTAGAACAAAATTACAAGGGATCTCAAGCTTCCTGTTTCAAAGTTAATCACTGGAGGCAGTGAGAAACTGATTGCTAGTGGTGGTCAGGAAGAAATGAAACCCTGTGTGGATTAATTTTGTATGATTAAATGTCTTGTGGGGAATTTTATACCTCATTCTGAAACACCCAGCATTAGCCAATGTCAGACACAAGATACCAGATTCAATGGATTGCTTTTCTGCATAGGAAGGACTCGCATGTTACAGTTCCCCTATTTGTAATGCAGAGCATTGTATAATATGCAACATGCTGCAGTGCATATTCTTTCCAATGTACATCTCGGTGCCTATAAATGCTGGCTTTTTTCCTCCTCATAGCTGCCAGATGGCGTGGGACAGCTTATGCTGCTTTTCAGAGCTGCTGAATTTTAATCAGATGAAAAGGACAATGCATCGCATGCAGAATTTTGCTCTCCCACCTTTCAACAACTACTACAACCCACAGAAAGATATGGATATGGGGCTACTCCCCATAGTGTACTTGGGATGAGGACATAATTGTAAGAATCATATTCATCTAGCCATCCCATTTACCTCCCCCCAAATTGATTCCATTTTATTCTGGCTTTAAGAAAGTACGTAAATGAAAGAGACACACTGGATAGATATGTTCTCTTTTGGGGTGTATGTGGGCAAGGGGACTGATTCACAAGTATCTTCTTTTAAGTCGTTTTGGTAGCAGAAGTCTTGACCAGGTACAGGAGATAAAATAGTTCAATGTCCATGTCAACTGAGATATGCTAATCACCAAACGTGGTGCACTGGTAGTAAAGCAGAACTAAAGTTGCTCAAATTAGTAGTCAGACTCACTGTGCCTGGGAATGTTCAATATATTAATGCAGGGCCAAATTGGAACCAGACTCCTGGTGAGCCAGAGGTGCTGGCAGGCAGTAGGCAACTCCTTACATAGCCTGCATACAAGCTGGCCAGCAGCAGAATAAACAAATCACCCCACAAGATAGCACATCATAAGATAGGATGACTCAGAAAAACATTGGTAGGTAGGAAGGTATGTTAAATGCTGGTGGTTATTTTGGTCCAGTACCCAGTAAATAAATGTCCACGCTGGCCCTTGTTCACACTAAGAGGAGAAGCCACAGGAATGAATGGCCCACTGGCACTGAACTTCATTGCCACTAGAAGTAAAAGTGAACCAAATTCTGCTATTCTTTTCACTAATGTAAATCCAGAGTAACACCATTAATGGTCATAAGTTTATTCTGGATTTATATTAGCGGTCCTCTGTGCAGAATTTGCCCCTAAAACTAAATCTACAAAAATAGTTTTGGTTATTAGGGCTGCATAGGGTTGCCAGGTGTCCGGTATTGACCTGGACAGTCCGGTATTTTTGCCTCCTGTCTGGTAAAAAAATTCAGAAAATACCCCCGCCCCTTTTTTTGGTAGTTTTGGTTAAACCATCTGGCAACCCTAGGGCTGCATTTTAAATGCAGTATGTATGCGGATATGATGTACCAGGTATCAATTACCGGGTATGGGGCCTAGTGGTGGGGTAGTCTTCCACTTTTAGAGAGACATATAGAAAATAAACTGTTATTGCTGTTAGGGGGGCAGAGGATTAGCTCTTTGAGTAACTTACGAGGGTACTAAAATACATTACAAATCAGCATGTTTCTTCAAAAAAAAAAAAAACTTAAAAAACAAGGCACCTTGTTCCACTCATCTGAACTGGGTTGTGCCCATGAAAACTCATGATACTATATATATTTTTGTTAGTATCTAAGGTGCTACAGGACCACTCATTTTTTAAGTTTTTTCAAGTTAGACTAACACCACTACCCCTCTGAGACTGTTAAACATGTTTCTTCATAGAGTTGTTGGACACTGACAGGGAAACTAGATAGGCACCCAGAGATCAAAGGGTCTGCATGTCCCACTTAAAATCAGTGAAACAATAGATCATGAAGACAAAAAATATTCCTTATCCCAACTATTGTAAAGCAGGATCAGCACCGCAAACCTGCAGCCTCTTGTCAATTTTTGTTGCAGTGCAACAGAGGATGATTGCCAAAGCCACAGCCTCCCCCGGTGGCCAAATGCGCGCATTACACTCCCCCCTAGAAAAGTTTCCGGCGTTGCGAGCAGTCAGCCTGGCACAGGGGAGTCCCCCAAACCCGCACGCTGCGTCGGGCACGCAACAGGTGAGGAAGGAAAAGCTGCCTAGCGGGTGCGGCACTAGCCTAGCAGGTTCACTGCCCTGCTCCAGCGCAGGGAGCGCGCCGCACGGGGCCCTGGGGAGGGAGCTAGGGGAGCGGGCCGCCCCTGGAAATACCTGAGCCGGGTCTCCGGGAGCAGAGCTCGGAGCTGTCTTTCCCCCGCGGGCCCAGGCAGGGGGCAACGAACTCCCCGCGCACATGTTTCGAAGACATAAAAACGACAATTCCCAGAATGCATTGCTCAGCGCCCCACGGCCTTCCGGGCTGGCGACGCGGTGCACGCTGGAAATCGTAGTTTCTTTGCTCAGCCCAAAGGCTCAAGTCCTATAAGAGGCGCCCTAGAGGAAGGACTCCCTTTCCCATAATGCAGCGGGACGGACATACGCAGAATGTGGCGCGCCGTCGGCGGCGGCAGCGGTGCCGGTGGCACCGGGTGAGCTGGGAGCGGCGGCTGCTGAGGCCTGGCTGCGCCGGGCAGCAGGCGTGGGGCATGTCGGAGAGCGGAGGCGCCGGCGGAGCTGCCCCGGGCGGGGGAGGCGGCGGCGCTGGAGCTGGGGGAGCAGCGGGGCCTGGGGGCGCGGCTGTCGGGGCGGGGCCCGGCGCCACCGACCCGGCCTCGCTGCCCCCCGGGGACGCTCAGCTCATCGCGCTCATCGTGGAGCAGCTCAAGAGCCGCGGCCTCTTCGACGGCTTCCGCCGGGACTGCCTGGCCGACGTGGACACCAAGGTAGCGCTGCAGGGGCCTGGCCCCACCAGCGCCTCCCCCGCAGGGGCACCTGGGAACGGGGCCTGGTTCTCTCGGCCGACCGGGGTACCAGGGCCGCGCTTTTCGCCTGGGCACGTTCGCACTGCTCGGGACGGAGACGCCGGGCGCTCTCTGACCCTGCAAGGAACAGAGGCTGCCCCTCACTCAGGCTCCAGCGGCTCTTCTGGGACTGCCCTGCTAACAGGGGCAATAGGCTGATAGGGGCTTTTCCCCGCCCAAAATCTCTAGTGCGGTCTCGCTACTTGAGCTCCACAGCTTTGGCTTGGGCTCTTTGGCTGACATGGGTACGAGGGTCTGAGTGTCTCATCACCTTCCTGTTTCAAACATCATCCCCCAAGTTCTGGCCTGTTGTCTGACAACCATCCCCTAGTTTTTCAGACTCGACCCTGAAGCTTCTGCTTCAGTCACCTACTTCATCTTGGGTTCCAACTTTCTTTTGGGGAGCCTGGATCTATCTCAAACCTGCAGCCAAGAGTGACCTTAACTAAAATATACAAGTGTTTCATGAAGCCCAGAAGATAAACTTTTCAGTTTCAGGGCTTTTTAACTTTCTACTATACGGTACAAGGTTTCCCACTCGTGTTTTTTCTGACCCCTGCATATGCTTATCTAATTTCTGTGTCCATGGTCTTCCTGAGAAATGGTAGAAAGCACGACTGATAATTCAGTGAAAGTTACTATTACCCAAGTCATTTCTCACTAGTGCAAGATTAGGGGATGCAAAAGCTGCTGGGCTTTCCTGCACTTGGATGAAACCCAAAACTTCCACTAGTCAGCACTTCAGTCAGTGAAAGTACTTTTGCAGGAATTGGGTGCAATCCCCACTGTTATCATCCTGAAGGGGTGTATGGTAGCTTGTTGTCTTCCTAAGCTTTACCTGAGACTTCAGCAGAATGTGGACATCCCTTCCTGTCATAAACCATTGCAGCATTTCTAAATAACTGTCTTGTTCCACCTTATAGGTGCTTGCAGTTTATCAGTGGGTGAAGTGATTCGTATGTGTACATAGCTTGTAAAGCATTTCAGAGTCTTTTAACATAAAGTGCTACTTAGAATGAATACCTTTAAACCTCTGTAACCATATATCTACTTTTGCAATGATGTCACTTGTTTATTTGCAATTGCAACTATTTTTGCTGAAATGTTAACATGTAGCCTTTCTGACATGTATGTACTCCTAGAGTCATCCACCCAAAGTGTCCTCTTTAAAGCTATAGCTCCCTTTATGCTTACAAAAAAGTACTAGAATTAATACTGTTAATGGGGAATAGTCTGACAACAAGGGTGCAAGTGTTCTGGAGCCAAAGGAACCAACATTGGGGTGGGAAAATCTTAATAGAAATTTTGATTTCCCCTCTAATGCCACTGAGAACATCAGTATTGATAACCAATTACTGGTGTGTCTGAAACCACCACATTATTCTGTATTAAACCATGAAACTGCCACCTATATGATCGGAACAGATTTCTCTCAACAAACCTAAATGGAATTTGAACTGGCCACTTAAAAGGGATAGGCTCTGTAGCATATTGACAAGAGTATCATTTTAATTTTTGATGATGTTCCTTGTAGTGATTCTGGTCTTGCTATAAGACCATTTGCCACCTTTTTGCCCTTGCCCCACATTAGTAACTGGTATTCCCATACGCAGTAGGAATGTAAAACGGGGTTTAAAAACATAACCATGTAACTGCTAAAAATCTTAGTGGAGGCCTCCCTGGGAGCAGGGCTGGCAAAGGCTTCCCACCCCGCTCTTAGGGAGGAGGAGGCCTTCCTGCTGCTGTGAAACTGCCTCGCTAGCAGCAGGGCTGACAGGGGCCCTGGCAGTGGGAGCCAGCATGTAACCTGCAATGTGCCGCCCAGGTCAGGCCCACTACAGGCAGGGGCTGGCCAAGGAGTCCTTGCCTGTAGTGGCCCTTGTGGGGCTGGAGCATCCCATTGCCTGGGCCGATAGGGAACTGTTCCAGCCCCTACCGGTTAACCATTTACGTCCCTAATACTCAATAACATTTCCGTTTCCTAAAGTCTGAAGAACAGGAAAGGTAGATTTACACAGAGCATTAAATAAAAACCACCCCTCTCCACTTTCTTGGCTTTCCAGTTTGCATTAGGGTTACAGCAAGCACATCTGTTTGTTTATACTATCGTCAATTTTATCTAATTAAAGTGTCTTGTAGGAACTTTGTGGTTGGAAGTCATATTAGAGGCCTTCTTAAATATAACTCTTGCAACTGTTCGCGTCTGAGCGCCTGAATGGAATGCAAATTACCTGTGCACGCAAAACACAGGTCTAGCTATTGCAGTTATAATACACTTGAACATAGGTTGGGGCCTGAACTCAATTTTTGTTTTTCTTCATTTAAATGATTGCTCTGGGGTAGAACTGGGAATGAAGGGTTTAGTATGCAGGCTATCCCAAGGAGAAGGGACTTACCCCAGCCCTCTCTCACCACAGTAACTAGGGCCAGATGGGAAGTGCCTCTCCATGGCTTCTGCAGTTCCAATGGGCACAGCAGGGAGAAGGATGCAGGTGCCCCAGCTGAGACAGGTCCAGGTTTGTCTGCCTCCTGTGCTCCCCACCCAGAACGAGGAATACAGCAAACTGTGTACTTTTCCCTCCCTCCCTAATGAAGAGGAACAGTCAGTAACATCCCCGTATGAATTGGTGGGGAGACATTCCTCCCCTGATGGGGCCGGGGGGGGGGGGGGGGGGGGGGAAGAGACTTGGCTGGGCAGTCCCAGAATAAGAAAATTGTTGAAGCCTGTGACCCAACATAATTTGACTAGAGTGTGGGCTTCAGGGTGGGGCTGAGGATGAGAGTTTTGGGCTGAGGAGGGGGCACCAGCTTTGCGGGAGTCAGGGCTAGGGCAGAAGGGGCTTATATTGAGTGGCTTCTGATTAGCAGTGGGGGTGCTAAGGCAGTCTTTCTGCCTCTCCTGGCACCATAGACCATGCTGTGCCCCAGAAGCAACCAGCAGCAGGTACCCAGGCTATGGGCGTGCAGCACAAGAGCTCAGCGCAAGGGCAGTAAACTGAGCCCTGTGCGCACTCTTCCCCCACCCCCACACAGTAGCTGGGCCTTTTGCTCTTTGCTTCTGGAGTGCAGCACAGTCTGTGGGCTCAGGACAGGCTGGTAGCCTGTCTTAGAACCCCCACTGGTCACCTGATCACTAGGGATGTTAGATATCATTTGACTGAATGATCATGTAACAGCAAACAATTTTTATCAGTTACACGATTATTCAATGTTCCCTGTGGGAGGGGCTGGCAGCCGGTGTGCTTCTGGCCCCACTCCCAGGGAGCCCGCTGCTGCCTCTGATACAGAGGCAGTAGCTGGGGGTGGGCAGCAGCATTCGGCCACACCTGATCACTAGGGATGTTAGATATCATTTGACTGAATGATCATGTAACAGCAAACAATTTTTATCAGTTACACGATTATTCAATGTTCCCTGTGGGAGGGGCTGGCAGCCGGTGTGCTTCTGGCCCCACTCCCAGGGAGCCCGCTGCTGCCTCTGATACAGAGGCAGTAGCTGGGGGTGGGCAGCAGCATTCGGCCACAGAGGCCCGAGCTCCCTGTGGACAGAGGCTACTCTGTGGAGAGCCCAGGCTGAGCTGGTGCTCAGGGGAGCTGGCTTAAAAGCTGGCTCCCCATGAGCACTC